TTGATGTAAATCCATTGAAGTCAAAGAAATTTGTCTGGCTTTGCACTAGGGCAACTGAGAGCATGGTTCAATCCTCCCTAATAAACATGGTGCCAACTAAAATACTTAGAGCAAAATAGTGATCTGCTAAGTTTCAGAAACCATGTTCTAGTAATGCTAGATAAAGGTTTGATAGATCGATTAAAGTTAATAGGAACTTCCCATCAGGGCCAGTCCACAACATTTTGGCACCTGAAGCGGGGAGCTCAAATGACGCCCTCATATCCATAGGCGCTGACTCCTTGGGTGCTCCGGGGCTGGAGCACCTACGGGGAAAAATTGGTGGGTGCTCTGCACCCACCGGCAGCTCCCTGCCCTGCCCCAGCTCACCTCCACCTCCGCTCCGCCTCTGCCCCTGAGCATGCTGCCGCGTCCTGCTTCTCCCCCCTCACTCCCAGCGCTTGCGCCGTGGAACAGCTGTTTTGCACGGCAAGCCTGGGAGGGAGGGGGGGAAAGCGGTGTGCTTAGGGGAGGAGGCAGGGCTGGGGTGGGGATTGGGGAGGGATCCAATAGGGGCAGAGAGGGGCGGGGACTTTGGGCAGGGGTGGAGTAGGGGTGGGACCAGGGGCAGGAAGGGCGTGAGCACCCACCGGTGCAGAAAAAAGTTGTCACCTGTGCCCATACCCCCTTGCTTGGGCCAAAACTTTGAAAGGTCTCAATTCTCACTTCTTCCTCTTCTACTCCTCTCATGGTATTGCTCTGCTACCTACCCCAATAAAGGAGAACTAACTTTAAATGCCTTGTTCAAAAATTTTAAGTAACACTTAACTTTCATATGCCTGAACAGCTGATGTAACTTTTCTTGTCTGCATAGTAAACACTGGCATTTTTATCTGTTTGAATAATCAAAGTGGTGCTTTCCGTGCCTTCTTGGGTGCAAAGATTTGAACTGCTTCCTGAAGATCCACAGTCTGGGCCAGCTCATGGTCTATTGAGTTGGTTGCAAGGCCAACCAACCTCTCCTGTGTCATTGTGGAGCGTCGATGTGTTTTTATTAACTTCAGCTTGGAGAAGCTGCGTTCTCCACTGGCAACTGTTACAGGAAGTGTTAGAAGTATGCGTAGAGCAACAAAAGCATTTGGAAAGAGGGTGGTCATCTTATTTGTGCACATATATTCCAGAACAGCCTTTGGAGTTGATCCTGCTGAAATGTATCTTGAAAGGGCTTTCAGTTCATCACCTAAATCACTCAAATCAGTATCATGCATGTCATCATGTGTCAACACTGTCTCTAGTGCCCTGCATTGTTGGTGTAGGTCTTCTTCAGGTATAATGAGGAGTTTTGGAATATCATACAACATCCCAAATATACTGCCGTGTTCCTTGAGCTGCATGAAATGTTCTTCAACTGACTGTATTGCACAATCTAGCACCTGGTTAAAGAATTCAACTTTGAATTGTTGTTGGGGTCTCTTATGGGATTATCCTGTGCCTTGTAATCAAAATATCATCTTCTTCGGTGACTCTTGTATTCTTGAATGGGTGGGAAAATAGCTTCAGTGTGAAGTTTCTCTGCCAACTTCTGTGCACTCTTCAGCACATTTTGAAATGCCTCATCTGACCGGTAAGACTGTAGGTCTGACTTTGCTTTGTCCAATTGTTCCATTGCTCCAGATATATCAAGGTCAACACCTTTGAGTCTCTTGCTTACAACATTTATTTCAAACAGTATGTCATGTCACAACACTAAGCCACACAGAAATTGGAAGTTATGTATGTTTCTGGTGATTCCATTTCTCTCTGCCACTGTTCTCCCACAAACAGTTCCTGTCATAGCATTATCCTCCATAATGGCAACTATGGCATCATCTATCTTCCCAATTTGGTGTTTGATAGGCTTTATCGCCTCCATTTGACTTTCCCATCATGTGGCACTCAATGGTTTCAGTGTTATAGAGGATGTTCCCAGATGTTGCTTCAAAATTTGCCATTGATGAGTTGAGGCAGAGAAAAATACATAGATGCTTTGAATTACATTAAAAAATTCAGCAGCCTCACTAGAAGCTGATCCTGCATCACTGACCACCAAGTGCAATGAATGAGAACTGCATGGGACAAAAAAAGCTCGAGGGATTAACTCTCGGATCTGTGTCTGCACACTTCTGTTCTTTCCTCTCATGTTGGCACCTGACCTCTCATGTCAGCTATCACAATTCCTGTATCTTCCAGCTTTTTAAGAAGCACATTTGTCATACCAGCTCCTGTAGTATCATCAGTGTCAATAAATTCTAGAAAATGCTCTCTGACAGTCACCATTGCAGGGACATTTTCACTAGGTTCTGTTGTTGTTACAAAACGCACTCTTAAAGTAATTTGTTCCGTATGGCTGATGTCAAGTGTGCAGTCCAGAATAACAGAGTAATATCTTGCTGACTTCAGATCTGCTACAATCTTGTGTTTGACTTTTGTTGTCAGTAACTGTATGATCTCATTTTGAATTGTTTTTCCAAGGTAGTGGTGTGTGTACATTTCTTGGGTGCTGACTCGTCTTAGATGCTCCTGGAGTACAGCATCAACTCAGCCATCAGCTCCACAATTTTAAGGAAGTTTCCATTGTTTGGCACATACAGCTGATCTGAAGTGCCATGCAGTGCTACGTTTTGGGTAGCAAGCATTCTCACAATGGCAGTGAGCCTTCTCAGAACATTTTGCCAGTAAAGAGACTCTGACACAATCTTCTCTTGATGCTGATCATCTATGGTGGCCTATAACCTTCTTCTCATCTCAAGCTCTTTCCACCTGTGGAATGCTCTCTGGTGATTTGCTGCCACCTCATGGCATGCCTGATTTCTAGCCAGATTTTTCCAGTCCTTTGTTCCTGTAGAACCCAATGTGGCTGGAACATTAGACTGGAAGAGTTTGCAACAAAAACAGTATGCAGCATTCTGTGTTTTTGAGTACATAAGCCTCTCCACTTTGTCACCATTGGGGATTTCACACCAGTAATGTGTTGGATGGAAACTTCTATTTTCATTGTCTTTAGGGAACATGAAGTTTTTCACTTGCTTTGGCCCATGCAGTACAAGGAAGTCCCTCAGGCTACTGCTCAAGTGGGTCCGCAGTCCTGGATCATCTAGACTTAAGGAACTAAACTCAGCAGCAGCTGTTTCTTGCAGCTCCACCACACTCTTCTCTGATCTACACTTTTCTTCAGGAATGTGCATGGTTACATCCATTTGAGATGGAGATATGGATGCTGCAGTAGCTGCCAGGTCACCTGCACTCTGACTAACTGGAAGATCAGGCATCTCCTCATCACTCACATCCTCACTGGGACCAGAAGGCTCACTGTGAACATTTGTGTCTAGGTATCTCAGGAGAGCTCCTTCCTGCTTATATAGAAAAGCTTCCTTTGCTTGCTTTCTTTTTCTGAATGCTGCCCCAGGGAGGGTGTTTTCTTCTTTCGCTCATGACTGCTGTTCTCTGCCAGCTATAGTGGCTCTCAACACTCAGTTGAAGTTCAGGGACAAATAAGCAGGCTGGTAGCAGGGCCTGAGTGAGGGAAGATATCAGCGTCTTAAGGGCCTAACTGGCATCTACTACTTCAGTTGACTGCCTGTTCTCCTCAGGTGGGTTCAGGGAAGCAGCAGGAAACAGGAAGCTCCCTGAGAAGCTGGTGTTAATCAGTCCAGGCTCCTGGGGGTGCTGGAGGGGTACATAAGAGGCTCCTCCTCCTCTCTCTCCCTGCAGCTCCTGGTGCTTTCTGTTATTCCCTCTCACCTTTTCTCCTGCTTGCCTGTTATGTCTCTTGTGCTCTCCTTCCTCCAGCACCCAACACCATCTCTGTGCATCTAGAGCAGAGAGAATCCATCTGCACCAGCAGCAGACACAATTTTCTACACTCTGGGTCCTCATGGCTCCCCTCTTGTCCCCCACAGTCTGGCACCTGAGGCGGCCGCCTCAGTTCACCTCATGGTAAGGCCAGCCCTGCTTCCCATCAATAAACAAACAATAACATCAGCAGGTACTGCATGCACAGGCCGATAGATTGATTTAATTATTGAAGCTGGGGTGGAGTAAGATAGTGTCTGCAAGAGAAGAAATTAAAGTCCAGATGATAATTCCAAGAAGTCCAGACAAAGAGTAAATTAAATGTTATACTGACACAGACACTAGCATCCCGGTGCACTTAGGTTAGGCTCATGGTTTCTGAATATGAATCTAGTTCCATTTGGACCTTGTCAAACTGAACAATCAAACCATTTTAGCTGGAATTGTATTAAATGGAAGTTTAAACATCATTAAAAACTCAGTACAGATGAGACCTAAACAATATTCATAGTAAGGTCTGCAAAATGGTGGGACTTCCATGGTGCAATGTGTGGGTTTTCTAAAAGGACCAGATCATGCATGTGAGTAGGGCATTGGCCCCAACATCTTGCTCTAGCTGTAAGAAAGTCAGTTCATTTCAAGAGTCTTATAAATATTGTCTATCTGCTTAGTCTGGTAATAAACGACAAATAGTGGAATGTACCGTATAAAACAAAAATACAATTCATGACAGAAGTTAAACAGATTTTTGCTGAGATAAAAAAAGTCCTTGGAAATATTTATTGTTTCTGATCTCAAAGAATTATAATCTGCTTTGAGGAACTGGCAGTTGAAAATACATTTTGACTACTTTTTGTATGCTACTAGGTGTGCATGACACATGTATAGGGTTAATATAGTATACAGTAATTGATGAAACTCTTGTTAAAATAAATTTTTGTGGAACCTTGAGACCTTTTACCATTTGTGCCATGATAAAGGGTCGGAAGTAAAGTCACTTGAAGGACATTTTAATGGCAACACTTTTAATGAAGTCAATTGGTAGTTTTATAATGGCAGCTGTGTGTGTGTTCTTGCCATTTTCCCATTTAAAAAGAATAAAAGGCCAACCAAGGACCAGTCAGTCAAACTGAAATAGGATTTGATGACATTTTCACTCCTGAACTCTTGGTATAAAATGGTCATCTAAGAAAGAACTGATAGGAAATGTGAGAAATTTGGCAATAAAACTGCGTAATTGCACGTAAGTGCTGAAAGAAAAAAATGATCAGCTAAAGATATTGCACTTTATATTATATCTTTGGAAAGTTTGTATTGGTGTATATGTATGTATATATTAAGTTTTCCTTTTAAAAAAAGTTAAACTAATTTGAGTTTTTCCTTGCAGTCTGTTCAGGTTAAACTTCATTTTAATTATTTGGATCTCAACAATGCACCTGTGGGGGTGTTACCCAACTGTCCCTTCTACGGTAAGCTACAATCCTTGAACATCATCTACTTCATCTATTTTAAATAGATATTTTAGTTAAATTTAGGTGGATTACTTTTAAACACTATTTGATCAAACTTGTTTTTATGTTAAAAGTGTAGAATAAATATGACTATCAAATGTTGCTTGTTGTGAAGAATTTTTGCTTTAGTTGCTAGCAAGGTAGACAGGATTCTCGCTAAAAGAATCTATTCAGCATGAAGTGTTTATGCTTTTGTGCATGGGATGCAGCTTTTGCAGTGGTTCAGCCATGGGACTGAGAATGGGAAGCACTGAATTCTGACACTGACTTCCACTCCATTTCATCTCTCTATATGAGCTTCCCCATCTGTAAAATAGAAATAACACGTATTTACTTCATACTGTTATTAGTTATTATTTGTAAAGTACTGTAACTGTTAGGGATTCTTAATAGGTTTGTATGCTGAAGGATAACTCCCAAGCAGTATTGTAGTTGTCTTATTCAAAGGAGCCTATGGGGGAAAAAAATCAGCCTATAGAATGAACAGTAGTATTTTCTCCATATTATGTATCTATGTATTTTAATGAAGTTCTGTAAAGTAGAAGTAAACAGGATATTTTAAAAGCAGTGCATACCAATATTTGATGTCTGGGATGGGGGAAATTACAATAGTAGAATATTAAACTTTATGTGAAGTGCCCCATGAAAGATTATGCAAACATGTTCTGATTTAGATGTCTTGCTCCAAATAGTAATTAAGTGTGTTCAATTTCCATGTTGGGATGTAGTTTTATTTAAACTATTTTGCTGTATTTCTTTGTAACTAGAATATTATTTCTTGGAATCTTAGTTGGGATTCCCTTTTTTTCCTTTGAGGCATATATTTTGTATCACCAGATTTTCATTAATGAACTCTATCTCCACTACAAATAGTATCTACTTGAGAGATTGTTTTCTTTTTATATTGATGTGGAGTTCAAAGTAATCTTCATCAATCAGTCTTGTGATTTTTGTGTGTATGTTTTATTTGTGTCACTATTTAATACTGTTTCATCTTTGATCATATATTGTTTAGACCTATTTTGAGCCATTTGACTAGCCATATTTAATTTCAGCTCTCATTATGGCAATGATATAGTTTGTCAAATGCTTTTTTATTGTTTAATATATGCCCAATGCCTTTCACTTTCAAATAAGATTAACAGAATGATGACCTTGTTATCCATTAGTACAAATCCTTATATGGGTTGCAATGATGTCTCTAGAATCTTGAGATGGAATTTGCTTGCTTTATGCTTCTTGAAGATTTTATTTTTTTTTTATAAAAATGGAGAATATCAATTTGTAAGAAAGCCATAAACAGAGAGATTTTGTAATCCAGTGGATGGGGTGTGCTACTGGGAATTTGCCTCAAACTCTCTGGGTGACCTTAGACAAATCATAATAATAATACCCATCTTTTGTAAAGTGTTTAGAGATCTATTAATGAGAATATTATTAAGTAGTAGATGGTATTATTATAAATAATTAAGTACCAGATCAATACTAATATTCCATGGGAATTTTGCCATTGACTTCAGTGGAGCCAGATTTTTACCTCATTGCTTTATATTTAGTGACTTCTCAAACATTAAGCTGAAGATATGTACACATAGACATATACGGTATGTATATTGTACAATATATACCTCCTATTGACTGCTACTGTAATAGGATGAAAGGCTTTACATAACTACTGTATGAGAGGATAGAAAATATAGCTAATTATGGCTCCCTTGGTATGTATTTTATACATTTTTATAATTGTAAAATACAGTAAAAGCTCGATGTGTATGTGTGTGAGAGAAAGAAAGAGAAAGGGGGAGAGAGAGAGAGAGAAAGATACCAGACTACTTAAATGCAAATCAAAAATATTTCTGTCATTATTAAGAAACATAATCATTACTGTAACTATAATAGCGAAAGAGAAACCCCAAAAGCTGCTGTGCATTACAGATGTTTCCATTTCCGGTGTTATCTATCTTTTAAACTAAATAGATTCCACATAAATCGTAGTGAAATTGCTGTTACATTATTAATAGAAAAATCTTATTTTATAATGGCAAATGGGTACTGTATTCTAGAGGAAAGTGACTGTCACCTGCCACAACAGATAACATCATTCGTGCTACATTGAAAATAACATGTTTCGGATAATAAAAATAACTAGACATATCAGAATTTTATACAGGTAAAACACCACTTACATTTTCAGAAAAGCTATAAAAACATCCGATTTGGATACTTTTAAACCAAAGCAAATAATAGTTAATCCTTGTCATTTTAAGCGTAAATTACTTTTTTGTCTTTCGGCTTTGCTTTTTACAGTGGGCAAGTCCCAGCAAATGTGCAAATCCATAATTATGGCTTTTCTGATCTGTGATATATATTTTTAAAATCTTCTGAGCAATAATCCTTTTTATTTGAATTGCCAGCTGTCCAGGAAATCTGATTACTGTCTCATCCTGCTGAATAGCTGCTTAGCCAAGCTGGACAGGAGTGAAGAACTGACTTTTCTAAAACCTTTCGTGGAGAAGTCTTTCATTAAAAGGTCCTTTTGCAATGGAGTTGGATCAGGAATTAAAAAAAACTTCCTTTCAAAGAGCAAAGTAATAAATAACTGTTCAAGAAAGTATCCTCAACTTTAGCATCTAACATTTAACTGTGAAGTTAAAATAATTTGCAATGTATTTCTGTGATAAAACCAAAAGAGACAAATGTATCAGCACGTTCATAATGTAAACAGATGTTTATTTCAAATAGTGCAAGCCAAGTGAAGCAGATCAAATTGTTCAGTACAGGCATTGTTTTCAAAGTTACAATATCATATAGTTTTGTATTGATATAAATATGTTTTCAGCTGGTTAATTCCCCGTTTGTAAGACTGCAGATTTAATCAAATTGCTCTTGATTAACACAAAAATAGTTTTCAGAGTAACAGCCGTGTTAGTCTGTATTCGCAAAAAGAAAAGGAGTACTTGTGGCACCTTAGAGACTAACCAATTTATTTGAGCATGAGAAAGCTCATGCTCAAATAAATTGGTTAGTCTCTAAGGTGCCACAAGTACTCCTTTTCTTTTTACAAAAATAGTTCTGTGCTTTGAAAGCATGCACACATGCAACCAACCTTTCGGATGGCAGCATTGTATCCTACATATGCTCATCTTTGGTCTAAAAGATACCCTCATGGTTAATGCAGGGCATAGCTGCACTTTATTGGCCTGATTCTCATTTCCATGAAGACCACTTTACACCACTCTGGTAATATGAAGAGGGTCTTAAAATGTAATTTAAGACATCTTTACACTGCTCTAGAGGTGTAAAGGGCCATTCCTGAAAAAAAGAATCAGGCACTATGTTTAAACTCTAATTTATTTTTAATATAGTTATTTAAAATGACTTCAGCAGGAAGTAATCTCTTGAGATGTCATTCATTTTCAGGAGTGTCCTGGGAAATCATTCAAAGTCACTGTAGCAGCGCATGTCCCTTTGCTTCAATTAATCAATTAATGTAGGCAACAAACATCTGATGATATCTGCCAAATGTAGGGCTTGCCAATTTTCTGCTGTTATGGTTGTTCTCTAATGAATAGTGGTCCATTTTTGTTTTTTCTTTGCTGTAAAGTAACTGGTTAGATGTTTGTTCTCAAAATATTGTAGATTTTGTCAGCTGGAAAGGTCATCTGCTGAGTTACATTATTTGTGTGAATTTTACCTTGTGGCCATTTCCTTCAAAAAGTGATGTAACAAACTCTGAATGTTGGCTTAAAAATGTAGCAATGTGTATTTGTTCAGATGCATTTTGAATTCTAAAAAAACTATTAATAAATCAATGTATGGATCATTTCACATATCTCATTTGTAACATTATGAAGAATGAAGTGGTGTTATTAGACTGGAATAGTGTTTATTTGTCTGAAGTGTCACAAAAGGAACATTGTCATTAATCACTGTTTTCATTTTAAGGAAATATTGGGTACAAGTGCTCTGCTCAGCAGTGCCCATTGCCTACTGGTTGCAGCTGAGTGTGGGGGCAGGAGAAGTTCAAAGTAAGGGGTTGCTGCTCCCTTATTCTGGGGACAATTCTATATTGATCCTAGTGTACTTTAGAACAGCTATGGGACATGTCTGGAGAGATCTCCAGAGGCCATTAGGGATATGTCTACACAGCAAAGAAAAACCTGCAGCTGGCCCATGCCAACTGGGCTCAAAGGGCTCAGGCTGCTGGGTTGTTGCATTTCTGTGTAGACTTCTAGGCTCGGGCTGGAGCCTGGGCTCTAGGATCCTGCAAGGTGGGAGGGTCCCAGAGCTTGGGCTCCAGTTTGAACCCAGAAGTCAACACAGAAATGAAACAGCCGCAACCCGAGCCCTGCAAGCCCAGTCAGTTGGCATGGGACAGCTGCAGGTATTTTTTTGCTGGGTAGGACTACCCCGATACATGCACAGATTTTTAAAGGTGTTGCCCTATTCAGCATTATAAGTAGGGTTGGCAGAATTTGATTTTAATCATTTATTTTTCAATTTTTATTGCTTTAAATGTTCACAGTTGTGGGAAATTAAAGGGGTGGGTTAGATAATTATTTAATGTCAGTAAACATTGAGATTTATAAAGTTAAAGCTTTATAACCATTAAAACACAAATTATCAACATGTCAAAATATACAAAGCAAATATCCTTAAACCATAATAAGTTCTCAAGCAGCGTTTTTCTTACTTTGCCTACTTGTAAATTTCAATGATTAGCATTAGAAATTTTTTTTCATTGGGTTGTGTGTGTATGGTGAAATTGACGTTTACCAGCATTTAACATAGCTATCTAAGGCACTTAGATTTTGTGATTAGGCTTGGACAGACTAGATTTTTAAGTCCCACTTTCAGAAGTCACTTAGGAGCTTGTGTCTCATTAAAAGTCAATGAAACTTAGGCTCCAAAGTGCCTAAATCACTTTTAAGTGGCATTCTACCCAGTATTCACCTAAATGACAATATGAAGCCTGAGCGATATAAAGCCTGAAAAATGCCCGGTATCCAACTGAATTACACAAGTGGCTCTGCCATCTGTTGTCTGATCTTGCATTCACTGCACACTCGATTCTCTCATTGCTGATGCTGTCTTTTATAGGAATGCTAAAATCCTTTCTATGCTTTAAAGGTAGATTTTTTTTTTGAAGGAACATAGAGTAACCATAGTGATCTCTGTCAGAAAATAAGGATGTAAGATTGTGGTGGTGATATTGCTAAGCACATTAATGTTTGCTCCATTTGCCTATACAGTCACAGTCCACTTGATAAAGAGATTTGTTATCCTGAAAATATGATATATAGGGCTACGTTTTCAATGCACAAATACCCATAATGAAGGATGCAGAAATTTTGGCCTATAGCATTATTAAACTATAACAACAAATTACATTGCCATCAATACTTTTTCATTATTCTGTGACAAAACATTTCATTCACTTGCACTGTTTATTAGTTATTCTTGCAAAAACGAGAGCAAGAGGACAACCAGATTTAGAGAGAGAGAGAGGTGTGATCTAGGGATTGGAGCACAATAGAATCAGCCAGGAATGCCTGAGATCAATCCCAGCTCTTAACAGTGACTCGTTCTGTAGCCTCAGATAAGTCCCTTCACTTCTGCTCGGTTTCCCCATCTGTAAAATAAGTAATTACATTTATCCAGCTATCTCAAATCTGCAGTCAGGATTAATTGATTTTTTCAGTACTTTGAAGACGAAAAGTGATTCATGGGTGCTAAGCAAGAGAAAGGATAGTCTTCTTCTAAGATAAAGCACCGGACTGGGATTCAGAGGATGTGAGTTCTATTCCCAGCTCTGCTACAGATGTCTAGTGTCACCTTGGGCAAACAGTATCACTGACTTCTGTTGTGTGCCTGTTTACACACCTGTAGAATGGGAACAATAATATTGACCTACATCCTCGGTGTGGGGAAGATAAATTTATAAAGACATTCAGACCTTATGGTGATGGATCTGAAAAGCCTTTAAATAAATATTATTATTCTTTTCTCTTTACTGGATGCCATAATCCATTCTTTTAAAAAGACACTGTCAGTTCAAATTTACTCTCTTTAAACAGTGTATGCAGAATCTCTGTCCTATGAGGGTATTTAATTTATTTTGCTCCAAAATAATTTTTGGGCAGATAAACAGCCGTATTTTTAAATTCTTGTAAATCTGAACCTGCAAATGGAATATGGCTTGTGGAAGTACTCCTCATGTGTAATTATTATTATTACTTTTTAATGTTTATATTGCATTAGTACTTTAAGACCACAACTACATTTGGGCCCATTATGCTAGGAGTTGTATAAACAGCTAGGAAATGGTGGTGCTGACCCCAAAGAGCTAGGAAATTTTATAGGTTAGATTTGCAAACAAAAATGCACTTCAGCTAATAGTAAAAAAATGTACAATCACGAGCGAACTATATATAAGTGCCTCTGAGCCACAGTGCATAAGAGGCATGTACAGAATTGGTCCAATAACAGATATTACCTTACCCACCTTGTCTCTCAAAGTAACCCAAGAATTCTGGACTAATATGTGGTTTCTCAGGCTACAATAATACATGGGAGTCAGTCTGTGCATTCGCCGGGGGGCTGTTCTGTGGACACTGCATCAACATCATGGTAATCAAAGATTTCATCAAGATTTCCCCAGGAGGACAAGAAAAACCATTCTGAGATGTGTCATAAAGATAAGACCACCTTTTAAGACCCACCTATTGTGTGAGTCTTGAGCCCCATGAAGGAGAATTTCAGCCTTTCTAATTCTTTTCCTTGAGAAGTTAGCCCGGAAAACATACATTGATATAAGCAGATATAATAGATCACTACGTTTGAAAGGAACAAGCAGCTGGGTACCATTTATATAGCAGGAGGCTCGCGGGTGAGAGGAGCACAAAGAGATTCCCCATTCCCCACTTTCCCCTTGCCTCCAGACACACATTCTTTGAATGCAGAAGGAGTCGGTTAGATTTGCAGTGTATCCCAAAGACTCTTCTCACTAACTGCCCCCAAAACATGTAAGCAGGCCTCGTGAACAATCATGTGGTCAGGGTGGACAGGGAAAGGTTGTGTTTATGAAGAGAAGTGTTTCAAAGGCCTGTCCAAAAATACTACCAACCACTCTGCTTGGTACTGTTTTCAGTCCTCTTTGAGGATGGGACCTAGGTCGCTGCTGGTCACTCAGGCATCTGCTGAGCTGTAGGTAGCATCTGCTATGGCTTCAGCCAGAGCCGAAGACACAAGGAAAACTGCTTTGCCACCCGTGCTGCTAGGTGTACGTGAATGTAGGAAGGAATGAGGGAAACCCACAATGTAGTCCCTGAATTCCACCCTCTGGTTGCACCAACATCATATGAGAGGGCTTTGGAGAGGAGACAAGGCTAAGATACTGCAGCCTACCACAGCCTGTCTCTCCCCTAGCTGAGGCCTACCTGCTGAAACCCAGCCCAGGGTTTAAAGTGCTGGCATCATAGTATCCCTGTACCCTCCATCCACTACGCCCAGGTAAGACCTTTCCCCTTTCTTACTAGCTAGAAAAGACCATAGGAGAAGATCTATCCACCTCAAGAACCAAAGGAGGTCCATTTCCCAATCTGCCTATACTGGAGGTTCATGCTACATATGTGACCATAGAATATCAGGGTTGGAAGGGACCCCAGAAGGTCATCTAGTCCAACCCCCTGCTCGAAGCAGGACCAATTCCCAGTTAAATCATCCCAGCCAGGGCTTTGTCAAGCCTGACCTTAAAAACCTCTAAGGAAGGAGATTCTACCACCTCCCTAGGTAACGCATTCCAGTGTTTCACCACCCTCTTAGTGAAAAAGTTTTTCCTAATATCCAATCTAAACCTCCCCCACTGCAGCTTGAGACGATTCCTCCTCTTTCTGTCATCTGATACCATTGAGAACAGTCTAGAGCCATCCTCTTTGGAACCCCCTTTCAGGTAGTTGAAAGCAGCTATC